TTTAATTACGGATTCATTATCAGAACACACAGAAATGTTATCCAAAATCTGCAGCATGCACTTGTGTCGAACCGTTTCTTCTGTCAGTTACGACCTCGTTCGCTTTGCGGGATGTCACGGACATGAGGCTGGTTATGGATCAATTGGCAGTTAACTACCAAAACCATGAACTGCCCGACGAGATGGGCGGGCCTTTGTTAGTAACCTTTCTTTTTTAGATATTTTTAAGTGCAGTTTTTTGCTCACTTTGTTGTCCCCTCCCACCTTATGATTAGGCAGGGTGGCTGTTCCCAGCAGTGTAATGAAGTCAGTATGAGCCTTGGCTGCTGAGTGACCCTCCCCTCACCACAGCCCTTTTTGTTCTTCTCCTTGCACTGACGCTGCATTTATCCTTCTTTTATGTGGCTCAGCAACGCAAGGAAATTTCATTTTATTTCCAGAGTCTGTAATTTTTCTTAATTCTCGTTTGTTTTAGCTCCAGGGACTTAAGTTTACATCATAAAATGTCTGCAGTATGTGCAATGGGTCCTGAATGGAGCAAACAATTTATTCTGGCTAGTTTTCTTTTTAAGTAACTGCTAATAAATGTTAAGAGTCATTTTTTTTAATTCAATTTCACACACTATGCTTTTAGAAATGGGAAAGGGGCCTTTGGTGTACAAAATTTAAATTAAACGTCAAGTGCTTATTTCAGAGACAATAGAAACTATCTTTTTATCCTATTACATGTGTCAAATTGGTACCTTGTATTTCTTACTGAAATATTCAGAGGGTTACAGCAACTCAGGGAGTTTCCTGTTAGATTTAGCACCTTTTTAGAAACAACAGGTGTCCCTGGACCAAAACAAGAGATCTAATGTGAACACGGATGGCCCGAGTAAGTTGCTTAACCTCTTTTTAGGATCTGTTGGAGGTGCAGTGTGATGCATCAACCAGTGCGTGGGTGTGTGTATTTATGTGTATATGGAGGAAATCATTACACAGTAATTACAGGGCAGTAGGGCTGGATTAACTTTGAAGGTGATGTCAGCGCTTTGTGAAGCAGCGTGTTATTTCCTGCTCCGCAGGTGGTATTACATTGTGGTGGTGCCAGTCACGCAAGGCAGCTCCGGGAGGTGGGAGAACCCGGACGAAATGGACCTGGATGAGGTAAGAGCCTTCCTGCTTTCGTGGGGTTCCAGGCACGCCCCCCTGCAGCTCGGCGCGTTAGGAAGCTGTAGCTGCTGCGCTGCGCTGCGCGCTGGGAAACGCAGGCCCTGCAGGGCTGCTCCTGCTTGCTGCTCCCTCCCCCTGGCCTCCGCTTGCTCTGATCTTCACGTGACTCTTCAAGGAGAAGGGCCTGGAGCTGGGTGGGAGCTTGTGTCAGACACTTGTCTGTGTGTGCTGCGCTGTCAGAGAGATTACCGCAAAGAGAGCAGCAGCTCTTACCTTTTAGTTAAGAAGGACAGGGAAGCAGGGACTGGTCTAAAACTTAGTCTTCCTCGGAGCTCGCATTAATACTGCTTTTTTTTTTTCTCGTGTTCTTAAATGCTGCTGAAATTATTCATGAGCGTTCCCTGGTGTCCTCTCCATTTAGTCTGCAAAACGTTAATGCGGGCCCTTCATAAGCGTTCAGAAAACACACTCCCTGGCTGGGATATTTATTTTGAAAATGTGCTTAATTGAAGACTGCATCAGGACAGAAGCAGTTTAGCTTGTTTGTGATAAAAAAAAAAAATTAATACATGCTGAAAATGGAAGAACAATAGCCATTCATTATGATACTTATTGTTCTGCTCGGTGTGAGTTAAAGAAGCCCACTTTTCATGAACACTTTAGTGAAGATAAGCTTCCACGGCTCAATACAGCAGGGGTGTCATCTTGTTTATTTAAGTTTTTGCTTTGTCTGTTTTAGCTGCTGGGGGCCAGTGAGAGCCCCAACTTGAGGCGGCGGAGGAGACAAGCAGAGACCCTGAAGCCTTACATCGCTGCCAAGCTCCCATCCCTACCAGAAACCTTCACCTTGGGAGACGAGAAGAATTACCATGGCTTCTACAACAAGCCTCTCTCGGGGCAGCAGAAATACCTTTGCTTCGTGCTGGCAGCCCTAGAGAAAAGAGACTCTGTAAGTCCTGTTTGACTGAGATTTTACATGGGACTCTTTACACAAGTCAGTCACTTGCTTTTTCTGAACCAGAG